GTTTTGTTTTTTGTCCTTTACTAATCTCTCACATATCTCTGCAAAAAGGGACATTTTTATTGTAGTGAAAGTGTAAGTTTATCATGGGCATAGAATAAATGAGAAACATTTTGGAAAGTACAGGTTACATTACCGCATGAGATGTCACCCCCCCCCCCCCCCCCCCCCCCCCTGCGATATTATGCCAATATGCCAATGATTAATGTAATTTAATTTTGATGATTAATTTGACATCAAGTCCATATACGACAAGCCCCAAAAGTACACTCGTTAACAATAATTTAATGAGGTACTTGATCAAATTATTCGATTCTGTTGAGTTTTCACGATGCTGTTCGACAATTATATGCTATATGGTTTTTTGAGAAGGTTTTGAGCTTTTTCTTACGAAGATAATAGTACATTTGTAAAGCGCTTAGAGACATTTTGTATTGAGCGCTATATAAAAATTAAATATTATTATTATTATTATTAAGATGGAAATTTAATGATCGATTGTTGTAGACATTGGCGAACGGGCAAAATGTCACAAAAGGGCTTATAATTATCTTTTTCCCGAATAAACGCAGTTCCTAAATATTGCAAGCGAGCAAAACAGATTTAAATTAATATGACAACGCAGTTTCGTCAACAAAACAAGATTTACAATTTAGAAAAGACCGCTTATTTCCCTGAATACATGAATGTGAAAACGAAAAAGATTGTTTTTGTTGTTGAAGATTTGTGTGCCTTTGTAAACATTTTGAAAGGGAAATTATATAAATTATATGGTATCTTTGGTTCTTTGTTGTAGTTTTTTCCCAATTTCCGATATATACATGTATAAATATATTTAAATAGCTAAAATTTGTAGTTTGGAATATTTTATTTCCCTCTTTTTTATGTTTTTCAATATACATTGAATTTTTTGACAGAAATAAGTATTTTTAATTTTAGTCTCATAGTTTACAAAAGTTAAAACTACTAATTTTTTTTCCCTCCATTTTTTAATACTTGGATTGCCACTGCCTGAGGGAGTTGGTCTAAAACAATTATTATGGCCTGTATTATGTTTTTATTACATTTGTTTTTCTTTTTAAAATGAGAACCATCTTAATAATAAACATTTTTGTTCTTTTGTTTACATTTTGTTTATATTTTCTACGTCCTATTTCTTTACTAATCTATCCAATCTTGGTTCTTTAGTCTGGAGTGAGCTACTCATGACGGAACTCGTGACATCACAATGAAAACTGACGATATAATAAACCCTATTTCCAAATGTACAGGAAATGAGTTTAGGATGCACTTAACCGTATTCGTATAAACTAATTTTTGAAAATTAAGAAAATAACTGATTTTAGAGCACTCAATGTATTTTCTTAGAACATCGATATCAATTACAAACGTAATTTGCGTATTCTTTTGAACAATCATTGCCTGCTCTTCTGCTCGTAGATGGCGCTATATACGTCCATAAAGATGCTCATGAGAATTCGTAAAACAGAGAGAGATAAGACTATCTTTCATGTAATGCATTGAATACCCCTTTAGCTGGATTAGATTCACATCAGTTTGTAAACAAAATACTGATAAATTTTAAAAAAGCAGATGGAACGATGCTACAATCACATTATATTAACATTTTGATTCTAAATGTGCATGATAATTCTATTTATTCAAACCTGACTTTTGATTTAGTTTGATATGATGTTTGAAATGAAATAAGATGTATGGCAAGGATTATGTTTCCCCAAGTTGACTCGACAATTTCGTTTTCTTTGTCACAGATAATATAGGGTTATAGGGTTACGTTTGTGATTGAATTTTATCTTAGATACAGGGTTAGGGTTAGCCAGTGGCGGATCTAGGGGCGGGGGGGCTCCCCGGGGAAAAAACAGGTAAAAACACGTTAATTTTACCTTTATTTGGAAACGGGCCCCCTCCCCTGGTGTTCAAGGGGGAGGGGTGCGATTTTCAAATTTTCGAGGGCAAAAAAAAGAAAAAAAGTGCTCACCCCCCCCCCCCCCCCTTATTCACGGGTTTGCTGTTTCGCCGCTAAATATTTTCTCACGAATTGGGCCCTCTCTTTGGCCCCTCCCCTGCCGCCGGCTGGATCCGCCCTTGGGGTTAGCATGAGTGTTTTGTCCTGGTTTGAAGTTAGAAATTCGGTTAGCGTAGAAAATTCTGTCTGAGCTGTGCCAGAGTGTTAATATTCTGAGCAAATAAAGGTTGGCGGTATAATGGGATGATTATGTAAACAGTAATAACTTGCAATAAGCTGATGGCACTAACAGTGTGAGGAGAAAGTAAGGGATATCCTATGAATAGCTTTTAATACAGCAATAAGGTTAAATTTGCGCTAAGACTGAGGTTCATATTTCGCTAATTTGGTCAGTTTTCGTAAATGGAACTGGACCATGATCATAGGCCGTTGATGGTGATACGCAGACTCATTGTGTACAGAAAGCGATAGAAATCTGCAAATATTGGTTAACGTTGTTCCGATCAAAAGCGAGAATTTGGCCTCAATATATGAACGTTCAGAAATGAAATCAGTACTTTCCAGCAATGCAGAAAAGGGTTAGATTTAAAGGCCCACTGCACTACTGGTAGCTACTTGCGCCCTCTATATAACAAACAATGCCTAATCGGTGACTACTAGTCCCCCATGATCCTCTTTTTCTTATGTTAACTGAGAGCTGAGTTAATTAGATAACCACCTGTCCAGTGAACTTGCAGAGCGGTCTAATCCCTCCTGTAAACTATGGCAGATAAGCTTTAAGTGGCGGAACTAGGTAGCCTTATTACAATACATCCAGTAGCGCGGGTCCAGTCATTGAGGGGGCCCTGTATCATGTAGTTGGGGGGGGGGGGAGGAGGGGGCAGATGGAATGAAAAAAATATTAATGCCGACGATTATGGGGAAGATGTAAGAGAGGAGGATTCTCATCATAATTTCACCCGGGAATTTCACGCCCCGTTTCTCACCACTCTGATCATTTTTTTTACGTCTCCCATTTTTCGCTCGACTGGCGAAAGGGTACTTACGCCATTCGATCATTACATCTTCTCACGACAAACTATCACTCATGATGTCAAATTAATTTGAAACCTCACGGAATACACTTCCAGCAAAGAAAAAACTTCTTTACAGCAATTAAGGTAAAATTCGCGCTTGGAATTAGGTTAATTCAATTGCAAAGTGTAGTCAGTTATACCATAAATTGAGATGACACAATAGGCAGTAATTACACCAAGAACCAAAGGAGGAATATAACATTAAAAGCCCATATTAGATTTTGCAAGCCCTAAAAAATGATCTAAAAATGTATCTGTAGCATCAGCAATACCATATAATTTGTTTAAATGGAAAGTTAATGCCAATGAATAAATGTTATTATTATAATCAAACAGGTGATTGTATGCACATGTTCTTTTAGGACTATAAAGAAATATTTCATGTCTAATTTTAATTTCAGACCATGTCATTTATTGTTTGGTATTGATTTTAATTCAAAGAAGGAAAAGATGTTGATATTATTTTGAATTATGCACTTTTTACTATTTACAAAAGTTGTGTTGGAAAATAACTTAAAAAGAAAACAACTAAAAAGAGACTTCTTCATATTTTTATTTACCTATTAAGTTATCGTTTAAAAATAGAAGAAAATATTAGAAAAACATGTTTATCCCTCCAGAAATGGAGGCAAATGCTAAAAATGTGAATATATTTATATTATTATGAAGACAAAAATAAAGAAAACCTGAAATGGTTATTTTACCAAAAAATTAAAAAATTAAAAAATCTGTAGCATCAAGTTCAATATGAGTTTATGAACGTCTTTTAAGATCAAAAGACTCTGTGGTTTTCTCTCTATAAGTGAAAATTGAAGCCCTCTTTTTTGTACACAACACAATTTAATGGGTTGAATAAAATACCACCACTTCCAAAATTCACATTTAAAAAGAAAAATGACTGTAAGATTTTTTTTTTTTTTTTTTTTTTTTTTGGTCTTGAACCTTAGGGCAGGTAATTTTTGTTTTCTTTGTGTGTTTTATTGAACAATCAAAAACAATCACAATATTTACAAGTTATCATAAAAAGAATACAAAAAAGCAGTAAAACGCAGATCAAAACCTCACGAAAAGTAAATTTACCCTAAGATGCAGGCAATTACATGCACATGCACAGATACAACATTATAAAACAGCATTACAAAACAAACTGTAAGTTTGGAAATGATGAGTATTTTGCCACCATAATTTCCGGAAAGTGTTTTAAATACGATTACAACTTGTTTGTCCTTTTAGGATCTTTTAAGTTTTAAGATCTTCACAGTGCAAATCCTGTCAACGCCCTGAAAGATTTGAAATTGATTTCGTGCGCAGGGGTTTACACAAATTGCAGAGGAGAGGGATGAGTGGGAAGTATTGCAATCAACTTTCGTATAGGGAGAAGAGACAATCATTATATACATAATTATAGATTTTAAATGTCAACCACTTAACCCTGCGCCTTGGGAAGCTCCGAAAATGGGAGCTGTTATATAAAATAATAATAAAATGATGAAAAATTGCATAGTTATACGTAACTCATTATGTGACTGCTTCCTTCTCCTGTTCTAAGACGAGAGAGAGATGGAGAGAGAAGGTGAAGGGAGAGGGGGAGGGGGGGGAAGGGAGAGACAGATATTGGAAGAAAGAGGGAGAGAGAGCTGGGGTGAGAGAGCTGGGAGTGAGAGAGAGATGGAGAGAAATGGAGAGAGAGAGAGAGAGAGAGCTCGAGAGAGAGAGGGAGGGAGAGAGAGGGAGAGAGCTCGAGAGAGAGAGTGTGTGTGTGTGTGTGTGTGACAGGGAGAAAGAGAGAGAAAGAAAGAGAAAGAGAATGATAGAGAAAGAGAGAGAGAGAGAGAGAGAGAGAGGGGGGCAGACGAACAGGTACTTCGCGGAGGAAAACGCGCGCTTTCCCGCTCAATAAGTGAATAGAAATCTGTCCATAAAGATTAGTTTCATCATATCTCTGCAATCGTTTCGGACACACCGTGTAATAACGACCTACTATCACGAAGTTTGAGCGGGTGCGTCAATTGCAACTTTTTGTCGCACTACAACTCTATATTCTATTATCAGTTACAGTCGGAAATAAAACGGACAGTGTAGGATTTCTGCTTCCTATATAAGGAGAGTGAATCGTTGTAGGCCTATCATTTATTTCTTAGCAGTCACGTTGCTCGAGATAAGGACTGAAATGCGATTGTTCGTTGACAAACATATCGCCAAGGAGCATACAAATACGTATTAGGTAAGCTTAATATTCTGCTTAAATTTTCTTTTCGTTTGTATTTCTTGTTGTTGCTGTAGTTTTGTTTTGTCACGATTATTATTATTATTTTTTTTTTTCGACCAATGGGTTATGACAATGATTTCCACTGTAAGTATGCAAGTATCGAAAACGCCAGTATCCATGCAGTCATTCTTTTAAAAGAGATGAATTTCAATTGGGCAAAGGGTCTTTATAGAATTGAAATATTCTTCCTGCTTTAATGATTGCATATTTTGTATCATTTTCCATTCCTTCTTTAATTTCAAGTTGGTAATAAACATTTCACTGTTGTGGGTTGTATTCATTTATATCTAATCATTGGAAAGGTTCCTTATTTTATTTGTATATTGCTATATATGAACACCTATAAAAAACATCTATCTAATTTAGTTTCATTTAGTTGTTAACAATATCTCTGAAATAGATTGGTGGAATGGTTTGTTTGTCGATGGCTTCTAGATAGTATAAGTAATCTAGAATAGATATAAATTTCTTACAATAGGGTTATGTACAAAATGACAAAATTATATCGATTAAATTAAAAGGGCTATCTTTCAATAAATTGAAAAGGATTATAAATTCTCAAACCTATATTTTAATGCAAAAAAAGCAGAGGCAAAATATCAACACAAGCAAAATGAGTTGAGAAATTTTGTACTACAATAATAATAATATATAATTTATAAGGCGCTTAATACAATGTTTCCAAGCGCTTAACAAAATATACATAATACATCATTCTTATAACAATTTCTTTATACCAATTATATGATAATAATAATATTTAATCTTTACATATAGCCGCTTTATAAATTAACAAACGAAATATAATTACACTACATATTGAACCGATAAGTTTTAAGTTTACTCTTGAAGGTTTCTAAAATTGAGGACTCGCGTATTTCATGGAGAAGTTTGTTCCAAAGTTGGGGGCGCAAATAGAAAATGCACGACCGCCACAGTGGGGGTTGGTGTGAGGGCCTGGGGCTAGATGAAGATGTGATATGGGCGATGCTTGGCGACCAATAGTTGAAGTATGAGTTTTAGGAGTCATGAGTTCTGAGAGATATGAGGGAGCAAGTTTGTTAACGGCCTTGTATGTAAGCAGGAGAAACTCGAATTTGACACGCTGTAGGAGGGGGAGCTATAGTCGAACGAATGATCGTCGTGATGTGTTCATGTTTTCTTCTACGTGTGGTGAGGCGTGCTGCTATGTCCTGGATATGTTAAAGAAGGGCTTTATGGTTGAGTATTTTTCTGCAGTGGGACAAAATGACTATGTATCTATGATTACCCTTGATGTTAATAGCCTTAATCCTTATTAAGCCCTAAATGCGATCTCTCTGGACTTGTCGGCTCTTTCTATCAATTAACTATCACTCTTCTCACACATTGTTCTAATTAAAATCCACTTGTACTGCGGACCGCAAATAGTATGGACTTCTTCTACATCGGATTTCATGTTAATTTATTGACAAGGTTAATACCATTATTTTAAGCCTCAATATAAATTATAATGAGCTCTTTGCGATAAACCATAATTTGAAGAGCTCAACCGAGGGACATCCATTAACAAATCAAGTACTGGATTAAGTAAAGCTAGATTACCATTTTGTAATGGGGGTTGGGCGATATGAAGATATAGCTCTGCAGGTGATAAATGTCATTTAATATAATTCATTAGACATTGACGTAAACACTAAACAATATAAGGTGTAAAATTTACACCAAATAATCAAGAGGATGAAGAAATAGGCCAGTATTCTACTGGAATATACAGCCGACGTTGTTTTCTTTTTTTGTTGTTGGCCGAAATCGGGTTTATCAGAGGAAGTTGGTCCGAAGTCCAAAGTTAAACTATGTTACACATAGACTCAGGGTCGGGTTAAATAAGTAGAATACAGACAATATTCATCACAGTGTAACTCAAAATTCGTCTGTATTTATTTTGTGAAATTCCCCTCCTCATAAAACCATAATTGATATCATCAAAGGGGTTTTGTAATGGGTAAATTCAGGATCACCAGGAATTGCATCACCACCGATCCTCTTCAGTCCCGATTAAAGGGGAAGTCCACCCTGATATTCAGTAGGTATTATTAGAAGCAGAAAATGAGATAAACGGGTCAGTGAAAGTTTGAGCAAATACCGATTAAAATAAGAAAGTTGTGAATTTTGAAAGGTGTGATAAATCTAACACAAATTGGCAACTCCGAGACGTATTTAGCGAGGTCTCCTCCCTTTTGCCCTGTACTAAAAATCTTCAAAATATCATATTTTTCCTTGAGAAATGTTCAATCATACAAGTCTATTCTGTCACTAATAACAAAAAAAAATGATATTCATGAAATTGTCTGTATAGAGCAAATTGTAGAGGTGCTCCCAAGATACGTCACAGTGTTTTACTGATGACAACTTCAAAAATCATAAATTTAATAATTTTGATCGGATATTGCTCGACTTTTCACTAATTATTTTGTAGCTATAATATCCAGGGAAGACCTCCCCACAAATTGCTTACTCAATTGTCGAACCGCCACCGTCATAAAAGTATTAAATGACATATAGAAAAGGAGACAAAAGGCGACATTCTAGCTACCCACTTTTTGCACCCAAACAAGTATATAGTCGGAAATATTTTAGCCATGTCTCTGATTTAATATTACATGCATACATTAAGATAATACTGCAGTTTAGGGTCTGGTATAAAAGCATTATCAACAGGAATATTCCTAAGATTTAAGAAACTCATCTGCTCATTTTCTTTGTTTAGGGGGTGGGCGGTACGATGTAGGTAGAAAGAACGTATAATCATGAGACAGTAATATGATTTTTGTATCATTTGATGCGCTCCGGTGTTTCAAAAATGGTTTGTTCAAATTGGTCAATAAGAAGAATGATAATCATGTGTGGTTTGGGGGAGAGGGTCATAAAGTTCTCGACCCCTTCCTTTTAGAGTGGGGGAGGGTTGTCAGATATTTGGTAGATATTTGGGGGCGTTTGACCCTCCCCTGTATGTCATAATTTTGTCGGAATTTGCCCCCCCCCCCCCTTATGAAATCCTGGATCAACCCGTAATACTTCTCGATTCGATTAGGCAAAAATCGGCAAATGACTAGCGTTTGAATCTGGCAATGGATTATTTTTGTTGCTATCAATACATTTAGCACTGAAAGAAATAAAATAAACTGTCGAATCCAACTCAAGTTAAGTGGGGCTTAAGTTAGTGTTTACACTTGTTTGGCTCAAAGTCTGATTAAAAGGTAAATAATTGTTAAACTAAAGCCATTAAAGAGAAGTCACTTTCACCATTATGCAACAATGATTATGTTCACGGAAAAAACAATTACGTAATAAGTCGTGAGACCTTGTTCTCTGTTTATAGGCACGTATTTGCTTTCCATTATTCTAAGAGTTATGTACAACTCCAGTACTGGTGTCCAATCATGCGTTATACAACTGCAGCGATATAAATTGAGATCTAATATACGATATTTACAGAGGGAAAAATGATCGTGCACTAAGATGTCAGTTACTGCAGTTTCCAAGGTCACTGGTTCGACTCCGCTTGATGTTTGATATGCCCCCCCCCCCCCCCCACTCAGTGTTATTTAGGGTACGCGTATGCTTGTTCCCTCTTTTTGAAAGCACCCCCTATCTGAGGACTGCCAACATTTTCGAACCCCCCTTTCGCGGGTTTTTCGCGGGCTTTTCCTGCCTTGGAGACCCCCTAAATTCGGAATAATTTCTCAGGAGTCCAAAGAGATGAGAGGAAAAAAAAAACCTTTTTAAAGAAATCTCCGGGTGAAAAGTCAAATACACCCCCTTTTTTTACAATTCTCGAGCCGGACTTTGTCGCGCGAAAAGTACCCCTTTACCGGACATTTTGTTAACACGCATGCGGTCATTCCGCCCCCGGAGTGGGGGCCGGGCCCCTCTCCCTTTCGTTAGCAGTCCAGTAACCGCGACGTTATATGTGGTCATAATTCCTTTTTATTACAAAGAAAAGAAAAACTGGCTAAAATTGACAACAGCTTGCGCATATTATTATTCAACGATGATCGACAAACAAAACTACATGAATTACAAACATCATGAGAGTACGTACCCGCTCTCAGCTGCTATGACTTTTCGCAGGTCGCGTCCTCCTGTTTTTAATATTATTAAGTCACATTATTATAATTATTAGGGTTAATAAGGGCTTAACATCTCAACGTGCGTGATATATTCTTCAAATTCGAAATACCATCTTAAAGGAAAATCCTGCCTTTGAAGCAAATTCCCCTGAACGCGGAAAGCAGAATATAATAGATGCAGAACGCTGTACTTACTACACGTCAGGGAATATCAAATCTGCCGAATCGCCGGAACTGTGGTGCGGGCAACGGGCAATATTAACACACGAAATTATCATGATGTCAATATTTCAAACTGTTTATGACTCAGGAGTGTCTTCACTTTTTAAGAGGACCTATTGTTAAGTGATATCAATAACATATTTTGAGTTATACCTCAAGGGAGAAGGCGCTTAGGAAAAAGGCATAAACTAATGATATGCGTGTACATGACAAACGGGGGAGTTGCTCTTGAATATGTCAAATGCACTTTTAAAATTGCCAATTTGTAATTCGCATAGATGTAGTAATTTTGTATATTTCAAACTGTCATAAATTCCTTTATACTGGTATGATTGACATCAATCTTCAACCATTATGTTTCTGTTATTTTGTATGCTTTCTTGTGTCACAACAAGGTGACGTTAGCTAATTATGATAAAACCGTCATGCACTTCACAACACGTTACGACAGAAACAATATTAAAACGAAACAATAAAAAAAATACCCCCCGTGACAATGTAGGTCGTGGGTTTTGAATAAATGTATCTCCTTCATAAGCGAGGTATTTTGCTCATGCGCATACTTAACATAGGCCAGTATAATTATGTACATATATAAGGTTCGTTAACACTTGCAATTTA